GAGCGCTTGGTTACTGGTTCTGGCCTGGTCCACCCCTGGCTACCACAGGCATTTGAGAGATGAACCAGTCAATGGAAGATGGATGTGTCTCTTTCTGCTTTCAAATAAATACAATAACTCATTTATAAATATATTTTTAAGTTGTAAATAAATATCAAAAGGCATTTGTTTTTCTACCTTACTGTAAAACACAGAATTTATGCATCCAATTTCTCCTTCCTCTTGTATTAACCTTCTTAGCTACCCACAAAAGAAAACATTTTTAATGATTTCCTTTTATTTGAGAGACAGATCTATGAAGAGGACAGAGAGCTCCTCCACCTGCTGGTTCACTACCCAGTGGCCACAAGGGCTTGGGAACTGGGCTGTTTTCCACTGCCAGGCCATAAACAGGGAGCTGGATTGAGGTGGAGCAGCCAGGACATGAACTGCAGACTGAAGATTAGCTTGCTAAGCCACTGCACCAGCCCCAGAACAGGCAGTTTGAGTCATCATGCTTCTACTTACTCAATTTCATGGTTTATTTCTCTGTACCTCATATTTGACCTGGTTTATTCCCACTGATTTTGTCTTTATTAAGGTCTTCATCTCTCACCTGAACTACTATAGAGCCCTTCTAACAGAAACCTTGGTCTTCATTTCTCATTTCTTCCTGTTTATGTTTCACAACTCAAGTTCCTTCCCAGGACAAAAGTGTGATCACATTTCTGAACTCAAAAGCTACTCACAAATATAAACCACCAGTAAAATCTACAACTTTTCCCTTAACTCCCTCCTTGAGTCACATTATTCCATGAAAATTGCCTTGTATTTTTACTATATTATTCACTATTCTCTCCCAACCCAATTTTTTATTCATTTTAACACAACCTTAAATGCTGTGTAAATGCCTATTCCTACAGAAAAGTGAATCACTTTATCTTTCACATTTCATTTACATTTTCTAACTATTATTCAAACAGGATGGAGGAGTGTTTGGAGCAGGACTAGTGCAAACCCAGGAACCTGTAACCCCATCCTGGTTTTCTACATAGGCTACTTGGGCCATCAGCTGCTTTCCAGGTGAATCAACAGAGAGCTGGATAGCAAGCAAAGCAACCAGGACTCAAACCAAAGTTGCAGGCTGCCTTCTAGCCGGCTGCACTACATGCTGCCACTGGTCCTCCTCATGCTTCAGTCCACTCCACTTCCAATCCAGCTCTCTAAGGGACCCGGGAAAGCAGCGGAGGACGGCCTAAGTACCTGCAATTCTTCTCAGCAGTCCAGGAAGGGATTCCTGGTTCCTCGCTTCAATCTGGCACAGATGTGGCTACTATGGCTGTTTAGGGAATGAACCAGCAGACAGAAAATGGATCTCTGTTGCTCTACATTCCCAATAAGTAAAATCTTACACACACACACACACACACACACACACACACACACACACACAGAGTGAATGGAAAAGGTACAGATTTACGGTCAAAGAGGCCTGTGTTCAAATCCAAATGTTGCCACTTATTACCTGCATGGCCCTGGATAAATTAATTAACCTTGGATAAATTAATTAACCAAGGAAATTATAAACAATTTCCTTGTCTATAAAATGAGAATAACAATAACCTATTACAGGATAATCATAAAGATCAAATGAAGTGCAAAGGGCACACAGGAATCCTCAGAAGTATTTCCTTTCCAAATTTCAGTCTTCATTATATTAACATTTACAAGTCTGTCTATTTCAGTAAACTACACATTGGTTCAAAGCAACACTGCATACTCATTCCTTAACTTACGACAGACTTGTCTAGGTGAACCTATCAAGCTAAGTTGAAAACATTTTAATTCAAAAATGTATTTAACAAAGGAAACAAACAAGAGTGAACAGAATCTCCAGAATGAGAGAAAATATTTGCCAACTATGTATCTGATAAGGGATTAATATTAGGAACATGGATGGAACAACTCAACAAAAAAATCTGATTACAAATGAGAATTGGGCCCGGTGCCATGGCCTAGTGGTTAAGGTCCTCACCTTGAGCATGCCAAGATCTCACATGGGCACCGGTTCTAATCCCAGCAGCCCCGCTTCCCATCCAGCTCCCTGCCTATGTCCTGGGAAAGCAGTCGAGGACGGCCTAAAGCCTTGGGACCCTGCACCCATGTGGGAGACCCGGAGGAAGTCCCTGGCGCCTGGCTCTGGATCATCTCAGCTCCAGCCGTTGCGGCCATTTGAGGAGTGAATCATCAGTCAGAAAATCTTCCTCTCTGTATCCCCTCCTTTATATATATATCTGGCTTTGCAATAAAAATAAGTATTTTTTTAAATGGGGAATAAACACAATACACATTTCTCAAAAACATGTTAGGTGGTCAGCAGGTTGTAAAAACATGCACAGTATCATTTATCATGAGGGAAATGCAAGACAATGTCAATCACCCTTATTAGAATGGCTGATACTAGAAAGCAAAAGATAAGTGCTGGTCAAACAAAACTATTCACACAGCTGGTGAGCATGTAAACTAGTACAGCTACTATGGAAAACAGTATAAAGAAAAACTATATATGTGTGTATATTTATATATCCAAAGGAAATGAAGCAGTACATCGAAGAGGTGTCATTGTTCTTGTACTTAGTGCGGCACTGTCCACAACAGCAAAGATAAACAAGAAGCTAACGCGTGAACACATACAGAAAATGGAACCCTGTTCATGCTGCTACCCAGCAACGAGGAAACACCGAACCACATCACAAATCACCAGCTCAGGTAAACACCAAGACCCCAAGATATCCACTGCACAGTTCCAGTGAGAGCTGAACACTTCACAACATCCTAACCGTCCGTATACAGTCCCCGAAAGACTGTGCTAGGAGGCTACTACAGAGGATAAAACATACAGGCCACGACGACAGACTGATCAACTCTTAGCCTTAGCCAGGTATTACATATTGACAAAAACAAAATATTTTGGGAAAGTAATTCAAGAGTTGTAACTGGTACCTTCCCCAACACCTTATCCGAAATTAATGTAGTTGGCTACACAGAAGTAGGAACTTCATCAGTGACTTTAATTTTTCTTATGAACAATTAGTCTTAAATTTTAAAAAAGAGGTAAAAACAAAACTGAAAAACGTCAAGCCACTCTTAAGGAAAAATATCTACTTTAAGAAAAATAGGATTTGGGGCCAACATTGTGACTCAACCTCCACCTTCAAGCACCAGCATCCCATATGGGCCCAAGTTTGTGTCCTGGCTGCGTCACTTCCCATCCAGCTCCCTGCCTGAGGCCTGGGAAAGCAGTGAATGGCCCAAAGCCTTGGGACCCAACAGCAGCATGTGAGAGACCCGAAGCAGCTCCTAATTCCTGGCTTAAGATCAGCTCAGCTTTGGTCATTGTGGCCATTAGGGAAGTGAACCAGAAGGAAGATCTTTCTCTGTCCTTCTCTCTGTAAACCTTTCCAATAAATATAAATAAAATTTTAAAGAAAACATGATTCTACAACCAGATCAGATTGATAGTATGCACGATCTTTTTCATAAGAACTTCTACAAAGAGTAAAACTAATCTCCCTAAGAGAATGCATGGGCAATTATTTTTGCCTAGGGGAAGACCCAGAAGCACCTTCAGGGCAAAAAGGTTCTCTACACCAAGATGAGGACCAAGATGTCTGTCACCAATCAGCAACCTATACACTCAGCATCTATAAGTTTTATTTTATGCAAATAATATCTAATTTTTAAAGCCCTATAAAGCCAATTTCATCAAAAGTAAAGAAATATCAAATACATGCAATTACTTGCCTAGCTATTACAAGTACCTCCGATCCAAAATGTTTGGAACGAAAAGTTCAGATTTTAAGTTTCATATTTTGGCATACATAATGAGTTTTGAGGACAGAATCCAAGACTAAACAAAAAACTCGTGTATTTTATACATACTTTGCACACCCAGTCTAAGGGTACTTTGTACAGTACTTATAATGCACCTGTTCCACCTATGGCTCGTCACATGAGGTCAGATGTGGAATTTTCCACTTGTGAAGTCATGTTGGTACTTAAAAACCTTTGCATTTGGGAGCATTTGGAATTTTGGATTTGGGGTGCTGAACCTGTAGATAATCAGTAAAAACTTCCATAAAAGAGAAGCTCCTTTCCTGTCACAGAAGAGGTAGTACCAGGGAAATTGGTAGGAAAGGCAATTGGTACTGGGATGTGTGGAAAGTCATGAGTGGGTTCCCCCTTTGTCTCTCTTCTTCCCTCAGAAACAAGAAGAAACAGTACATCTGAAAGCAATGAGTATACCCAATTTTCCCTACACCTACATCACTCCCACCTGATCCACCATGTAATCATTCTAAAAAATAAAATTCATTAAAAAAACTTTTTTAGAAAGTCTGAAGTGTTAGATACGCTCATAGTTGGGTTTGTCGCTGCTCTAAACTGGGGGTGGGGTGGGGTGGGGTGGAGTGTAGATTTCATAGGAAACACTGTTTTGGTTGCCAAGATAGAAAACATTCATAGTAGGTATTATTGGAGGACCCTCTACGGTAACTTGTCCACAACCATCATGACCGTTGTCATTACTCAGCAACTTCAGCACAAGCCGAAGTAACAGAAGGCAGGCCCCTGAGAAGGGCGCAAGCGCCATCCCGCAGCACGGTTAACAAAGCTGGAACCTAACAAAGCTGGAACCGTGTGGCTAGTAACAACTTCTAACGAAACTAGGCACATCCTAATAGATAATTTTCTAGGAATCTTAACACCAATAATTTTCTTGCATTAATTTTAGTTCTGTGAAAAAACAGCAACTGATTCAATGTAACTGAAATTCAGAGCTTTAAAAAACTATATATAAAAACCAGCAGAGTTTTTCTTTAAACTCTCCTTTTGTTATTTCTCTAAATGATACTCTATAAACACTGCAAGAAGGCAAGAACATACACACAAAGTCATTTTTTGTTGTTTTTTTTACAATTCACATTCCCAACAATGCAGGAGTTAAGCGTAAATTCCCTTACCTCCTCGTCCTCATCAGAATCATTTCCAAACACTGAAGGTTTTTGTAGAACGGGGTGCAACTGCTGTGTTTTCTTTGGCAAAATAAGCCCATACCTGCATTTTTTTTTTTCGAAACAGAGATTATACCATGAAGTGTTATTTACAACAAAATTAAAAACCATACTGCCTGTTCCAGGGGAAGCTGCCAAAGTGAGACGGGCTACACTCAACCAGCTGTTTGATTTGCAACGAGCTTACATTCACTACATCACAGGTTTTCATAATTACCCCTGTGATTTCGGGTATAGGCCCGGCTCATTTTCATCAAAGAATGAGCGAAGAGTTGAGAAATGTTATAGATGGTCAGTAAGCGTTTTACAAAAACACGGCAGTGCAAAAACTCAGTTCATGTTGTGAAAAATCCTGTGGTTGGACTTCTCAAGAAAATGGCCAGCTCGCCCCACGCCTCCCGGCTGTGCTGTTACTTTTTAAGAAGTTACTGAATAATGTAATCGAAAAGCAAGGGGGGAGGCGGAGTTCATCTAAGAAACCCACATCATCCTGACAAGTTCCAGTTATCTTTCTTTAGGCTCACCTGCCTTGGAACACCTGCCCCACGCCCCCACCCCATTTTCCTGCATTAGGCTCACTTGGGAACACCTGACCCAAGCCCGAACCCCATTCCCCCATTAGGCTCAGCTGTCTTGTGTGGGGACACCTGACCCTCGCCCACAGCCCCGACTCCCCCAAGTCTCCCTTGGTGTCTATGAAGAGCGAAAAGCCGCGTCCTAAGTAAGGGTTACACGCCAAAGCATCGCCCCCACGGACGTACGGCCCAATCCTGCGTGCCGACCCTGGCGTCCGAGGCCCTGCCAGGGGCAAGGTCCCCTCAGGGAAGCCGGGAACATTCTCTTCCCCCAACCATCCCCCACCACCATCCCGAGCGCAGCCAAGCGGGGAGAAACTCAAGCGCGGGGTAGGAAGCAAGACTGAGGGGCCTCAGACCGAGCTTTGGGAAGATAGAAAAGTCTCGCTCTCTGCCCCTCAGCCTCACTTCCTGTATTTCCTCACAAGTTTCTCTCCCTCTCAAACTTGGGGCTGCCAGCCTGGAACATCTCTGGGGGAGGGGATATGTGCCTCAAAACTCCTCGGGGTTTCCCGTCTTTAATGAGGACGACACAGCCCCTTGACTTCGGCGCACTTTCACTCAGTTTAGAGCAGCGAGTGCCACAAACACGGTTCTCCTCAATGCTCCGTGCCCCGCCTGACTCCCCATCACTCACTGCCTGCCCGGAATCGCCATCTTGCTCCGCGGAACACCGGACGTGGCCGTCGCCGACGTGACGCTAACGCCGCGCCGGCACGTGAACTCTCGCGCGGTTTGGGGCGGCCCGGAAGCTGTGCGCGAGTTGTCTCGCCGGTCGGAGTCACTTTTCGCGTATCTCGGAGTCATTTTTCTCGCATTTTGGAAGCGCATTTCGGGCTGTCTGGGCAAAGCGGAATGAAAAAGGGAAAACATGATTCTGGGCCGGTGGTTAGCTCAGTGTGGGCCTGGACCGGCGGTGTCAGTCTGAGATGTTGGGGTTGCCAGTTCTTGAGCCCTACCCCAACCTGCGGAATTGGAACTAGGGAATGGTGCCTAACAATCTGAATTTTAGTAATTCTGATACTCAGATTTAGTGAAACCCTCTTGATTTTTGGCTTTCCTCTCTCTGAAGTGTTCAGTGTATGGATGACTAATTCAAGTCAATTATGTAGAAATGAACATCCATATGCCGATAGTGGCTCCCATAGGACTGAGTTGTTTCAGTTTTGTTGTTTTGAAACAGATTTTCCAAGGTTTAACCCATTCCGCAAATGGCTGCAACAGCCAGAATTGAGGACGGGCCAGGCAGAGACCAGAAACCTGGAGTCAGACAGGTAGGTGGCAGGGACCCAAGTACCTGGGACAGCACTTGCTGCCTCATAGTAACAAGGGGCTGGACTGGAAGTGGAAGTTGGTACCTAAATGTGGGATGTGAGAATCCTGGGCAGTGGTGTCATCCACTACACCATAACACACACCCCCAAGAAGTGTTTGTTTTTAGTAAGTTATTTTTTTTTTTATTGGAAAGTCAGACTTGTAGGGAGAAAGCTCTTGCACCCGCTGGTTCACTCCCCAAATGGCCACCATTGCTGGAGCTGAGCCGATCCACAGCCAAGAGCCAGGAGCCTCTTTCAGGTCTCCCACACAGGTGCATGGTCTCAAGGCTTTGTACTGTCCTCAACTGCTTTCCAGGCCAGAAACAGAGAGCAGAATGGGAAGAGGAAGGCCAACTGGCACCCATATAGGATTCGGGCACTTGCAACAAGGAAGATTAACTAACCAGTTGAGCCATCATGCTGGGTCCCACTTTATATATTTTAAATCCCATTACTACATAAGATTGTTGTGTCTTAGTTAATCGACCATTTTGCATTATGAAATAACTTATCAGCATAGTGTTTTTCCTTTGAAATCTGCTTGTATGGTACTAGAGCTATTTTAGTTTTCTTTTAACATTAACTCCAGGTGGCAGTAAAATATGTGTAGGAATGGAAAACAATTGTAGCTTGCCACATTGCTATATCCTAAATAGCATTGATAAAACACAATATTGACCTCGTTTAAGACCACGTAGTAACATTGGTGAAAGTTTGGATGGGAAGAAAGTGTGTGTGCTTGTGTGCCTGTTGAGAAAGGATTCACATCATTACATTGCATTTGGGGAAAAAAAAATCACATTATTTAGCAACACAAAGTTTCAAAACTATAGCCAAAGTAGGGGCAGGCAAACCTTTTCTGCAAGTAACCAAGTATTTTAGACTCTGTGGGCATCTCATCTCTGTCGGTTACTCTTCTCTACCTGTGTAGTGTGAAAGCAACCACGGATGATATGGGATGGGCTGTTGCAGGCTAATTTTATTTAACAGAATGAGCAGCTATCTAGATTTGACTGTTACCAGCTCCTGAGCCAAAAGAACTGAATTGATTTACTAACCAGGAAGATATGGATGCGGCTGGGGCTGGGAGTCACGTTGGTCTCAGCATATCTGCTGCTGCTTTCCCAGGCTCGTTAGCGGGTCCAGTCCCAGTGCTTTTTTGGGATGTATGTGTCTTAGCAGCTTAACCACAGTACCACAATGTTGTACCCTCTAATTGCCATCTTAGCCAATAAGCTAAATATTCACCAAAGGAGGATAGATTTTTACTTGAATTATGGTTAAACAAATTCAACCCATCTAGCGTGTTGATTGGTTGATTATAAAGTAGCTTCTGAAAGCCTGATTGCATGGTCATTAGTAACTTCAGAACGTGTTCGATGTCTAGGTCCATCCTGATTCGGGGTGGCTGTTTGTAGCCCTCATGGACATCTCATTCACTTTAATGTGTTGAAATTTATTTTCATTTCATTGGAGAAACAGGCAGAAAAAGAGAGAAGAGAGATCTATCCACAGGTTCATTCCCCAAATGCAGCTGGGCCAATCCCAAGAGCCCCCAGAATTCCATCCAAGTCTCCCAGGTGGTAGGTAGGAACCCAAGAACTTGAGACAACAGGAAGCTGGCTCAGTGGAGGAGCCAGAACAGGAACCAGGTACTGTGAATGAGGTGTATGTGTCCCAGGCAGCGTCCTGAGCAGTGTCCAAACTCACACTCCTTGAATCTGTCTTCTCATTTGTGAATAGAGGCAGCATCTGGACCACTAACCTTGTAGATTGTTGGGAGGATCAACAGTGTGAAAACAGTTTAAACAAGTTCAAGTGCCATGCAAATGCATATTTGTTATTAAGCTGGAAACCATTTAGTTAACTTGATTCCCATGCACTGGTTAAAAACACAGCATTTGGCCAAATCTTTCCATGCTACTTAAAATGCCACTTGTATTCACAGAGAGCTCTTCCGTATGCTAGCTCTGAAGCCATTAGGTTATGTGGCTATCAGTTTAATATCTTCAAGAACATTGTTTCTAGAAATGTCCCAAATGTGCTAAAACTCCTCTTCCAAACATGAAGCAGGCTCATAGGTTAGCAGTGGGTAGGGGATCGTGAAAGAGCTGAGGCTGGTAATAACACTGGCATCTTATCAGGAGAGGTTAAAAAGGGACCTCAAATCTTGAATTTGAAGATGTTTGCAACACATCACATTTTGTCAAAGTAATAAAGAAAATAAATTTTAATTTCCCCAAATTTTATTAAAAAATGGACTCTGTCATCAGATATCTTATTGGAAAGATGAAATCTCACAACAAGGAAGTAAAGTTTGCCACAATAACAAGCTTTAAAGAAGTATAATTTTTTTTTTTGGTAGTTCTTGAACTTAAGAGTTTTGGTCACTAAAAAAAAAATTATCTTTTTTCCATGAGTCATGGGCAACCATTTCCCCAAATGATTTTCTGTTCATTAAGATGAATTTTAAGTTGTTACATAAGGGGCTGGTTGGGATGGTTAGGGCAGGACGAAGGAAGAGGTGGTATAAAGAGAAGTCCCTGAAAAAAAAAAAAAGAAAAAGAATTCCTAACTTCTTTAAAATCTTTATTATTTGGTACTCCATTGCTGTAAAAGTTGCAACCTTTTTTTTTTTTTTTGTAAATCCTCAGTCTTACTTTGTGTCTTTAAAGAATGAAAACTATGTACCCAACTAACCACAACAGTCTTGCAACAGATGCTCAGCTCCAAATAACAGGAACTTTTCCTTATAATCTGTAATACACTCGAGATGCACTTAGTTATAATGACATTAACTGAAGATTTTTTAGGTAAAATTTCTCTTGAAGTGAAGCGCACACTGAAGGAAATGTGTTTGAACAGACGGTGTCCATGTTGCACTCCTTTCCTGTCAAGACCATTTCATGTTAACAAACAAAACTGAAGGTGACCAAACATCCTAAATACAGTACCAATTCTACTAACATTTTCCTGGCAAAGTTGCACCTGGCATTTTTGCGCAAATATAGTTGTCTGTCTTGGAGGGCAACGGTGGTATAATTGCACTGTTTTGCTTTTTGTTTATGAGAGCTAAACAGATGTGTCCCCAGTGGTATAGTAGTTCAATGACAATATCACCAAATTTCCATACTTCCGTTCTGGAATGATCTGTGTCAAGAAAACACATGTTACTGTAAATAATTTTGTACTTTCATTATTAAAAGTTCCAATGCACAGTTAAAGTGCAGTAGCTTTGTTTTGAGTCAAATCCATAGCAGAATCTTATGAATTATCAGAAAATACAATGATAAATCTGATATGTTCATATAATAGAATACTACACAACAGCTGCAGGATTAAAGTTATATGTAACCATACATAAATCACAAAAACACATTGAAAGTAAATTAATCGTTTGTGGAGTGATATACGCTTTTGAGTACAATTTAAAGCCCTGCAAAATAGCACTATATTGTTTATAAGTTAATAAGCACAGAATAAAAGGAAGGAATCATGCATGAAACTGATAGATGCCAAGTGCATAGTGATTCTCTAGGGAAGAACAAAGACAGCACCTTCAAGGGGTCAGAAACCTCAGCTGTTCCTGTGATGACTTTTTTTTCTGTCCTTCTTTCTGTCTCTTTTTAAAGATTTATTTATTTGGGCCCGGCGCGGTGGCGCAGTGGTTAAGGTCCTCGCCTTGCACGCCCAGGATCCCATATGGGCGCTGGTTCTATCCCGGCAGCCCCGCTTCCCTTCCAGCTCCCTGCCTGTGGCCCAGGAAAGCAGTTGAGGATGGCCCAAAGCTTTGGGCCCCTGCATCCGCGTGGGAGACCTAGAAGAGGCTCCTGGCTTTGGATCAGCATAGCATCGGCCCGTTGCGCTCACTTGGGGAGTGAATCATCGGAAGGAAGATCTTCCTCTCTGTCTCTCCTCCTCTCTGTATATCCGCCTTTCCAATTAAAAATAATAATAAAAATAAATCTTTAAAGATTTATTTATTTGAAAGGCAGAGTTACAGAGGGAGAGAGAAGAGAGTTGGAGGTGGTAGAGTAGGGGGACAGGTTTTCTACCTCTTGGCTCACTCCCCAAATGACCACAACTGCCAGGGCAGGGCCAGGCCGAAGCCAGGAGCCTGGGACTCCATCCAGGTCTCCCACATGGGTGGCAAGGGCCCAAGATTCCACCACCTTCTGTTGCTTTCCCAGGCACACTGGCAAGGAGGTGAATCAGAAATGGAATAGCTCGGAAGCAAGTGGGCCACTGCACTCCAAGGCCAGCCCCAATGTTTTAGTGATTTAAAAAGTTGGACTTGGGCTGTTACGGTAGCCTAGTGGCTAAAGTCCTTGCCTTGCACACACTGGCATCCCATATGGGCACTAGTTCTAATCCCAGCAGCCCCGCTTCCCATCCAGCTCCCTGCTTGTGGCCTAGGAAGGCAGTCGAGAATGGCCCAAAGCGTTGGGACCCTGCACCCGCATGGGAGACCCCAAGGAAGCTCCTGGCTTCGGATCAGCTCAGCTTCAGCTGTTGTGGCTGCTCTGGGATTGAACCAATGGATGGAGAATCTTTGTCTCTCCTCTCTGTAATTCAGACTTTTTAATAAAAATAAATCTTTTAAAAAGAATTTGAAACTTGGAGTGATGTTGACTTTGCATATTGAATATAGCTTTTTAGTGACTACATAGGTGTTCCAGTCCATACGTTAGGAAGATCTTCCAATTAAAATTACAGTAAAATACATTGTCACTGCACACCATCATACATTTAACTTTGCTAACTTGAACTATTAAGCTACCATTCATAACAATCATTATTAGTATTATTTTTTTTACCAGCAATCAATGACTTATATTCAGATAGAATGGCTTAATAGAAAGAATACATTCGTTAGAGCCAAGCAGATCTGGCTTCCACTGTTGGCTCTACCCTAATTAATTTTGTGACTGAGCTGGTTACTTCATTGCACTGAGCTTGTTTTTCCTCCCATAAACTAGGGATTAAAACCATGGGCTGGTTTTGAGCGTTATAAGAAAATACATGCATGCAAAGACCTGTCACGGTACAGACTATTAAGGACACTGTTTCTGTAAGGTGCGGCCATTCCCTCCCCTCCCCACCACCTTCTATTCATTTTCCTGGTCCTCAGTGTCTTAAGTCAGTGCCTAACCCATCTGCTAACTTGAACCAAACACATCATTAAGCATAACTGAAAAACAGAGCCTAAATAGTCAATCTTACAGCCAAAAGCTTATCAGCAGTGGCGACTGTCTCTTGCAACTAACTTCTCTGGTTTCTGTTGCCACAAGGAACAGGGATCACTGAATCAGGTTGAACTCTCCTATTGTTGTGAAGGCAACAACACAAAGTACAAGGGACAGAGAAGGCACACTGAAGAAAAACTCCCCAGACCCTGCTTTTATTTGATGCTGTCTTTGAAATGCATGGAAACAATTAATTTTCTAAGCTTGTCTCTATTAACAAACACATAAACAGAGGCACTGTCTTAGTCAATTGTAAGTATTCAATAAATGCTGAATTAAATAAATTAAATTAAGGGGTAATTTAATTTTTTTCAGTTGCTGAAATCTTCTCTAGATAATGGCTCAGTAACATCAATGATCATTATAGATTAAAGCCAAAAAACAGATGCTGGTAACAGGAGCACGTTAAACGTACCTGCTTCATCTCATTTCACGGGCAACACTAGCCCAATCAACATACATTCTTGAAATGTCATTGTAATTGATCCCTCTGCACTAATTAATTTCCTGGAAAATTTATAAGGTTTCCAAAGATTACTTTATCTTAATGTTCCAATATTGTGACTGTAAATTAAATAAAACCGAAGTTCATCCCAGGACACTCTTAAAACTGGTCCTAGGTAATTTTCTAAGATAAAACGGCTCTGCAGCTCCCACAGCTTTATTCTGCCTAACTCCTGCTATGGTGCTCTTATCACTGCATCCCGCTATCAACAGACCCCTTTCTCCTGCTGTCAGTAAGCCAGGTGCCATCTCCATGGTGATTCAAAAACACGGGCAAGGAGGCAGAGGTCATTCCTTTCCACAAGCCCCTCTTGCTTAGTTTCTCCTGTCTTTTTGTTGGAGAGGACAGAAGTGGAGAACCTGCCTGGGCAGGCAGTGCCTTTCCCTGTCCTTTCCTAAGACTGAAGCTTTAGCTGCAGGTTCCAACCCAGCCAGTGTACACCCAGCTGGGCGCCCAGGAAGCGGCTGGACGCTGCTGCCCTCTTGTGGTGGGTGGCCGACGACCGAGCGCCTCACGCAGCTTATTGGAGGTTCTCCCCTGCGGATGCGGTGCTGTTGTAACCATTAGGAATTCTGCTTTTTTACCTTTGCCTTGGAAAAGGCTAACATATATGATTTGAATAGCTCTAAGCTGTAAATGTTGCACGATCAATCTTTGAATCTGCATATGGTTCTATTCAGAAACACTTTATTATGGTAGTTTTGTAGGCTCTAGTTTAATCACAGTTTTAATGACATTTGGGAATCCATCATGCTGCAATGGGCTGCAACAGGGTGTTACTAAATTAAAACTTCACTTGTGAGTCCCTGCTTTAGCACTGGATTAATTAAGTTAAGCCCTTTAGGAATCACAGACAATTAATGAAGACGGGCAATACAGAAAGAATTGAGGTACTTAAACTTCAAGAGTCCAAAAGCTAAAATGTAACTGTTGCTTTTGGACTGGATCAGCAGCGTTTCTTGAATTCTCCTCTCCTTCATCATTAGTCCTCCTAGCTTTCTTCCTCTTTCAGTTTTTTTCACACACCTCGCCAATCCTGTCATGCACAGTGAGCATGTGCTGGAAGTGTGTGTACATTTCTATCAATGTTTATGCTGGCAGAACGCTCACCTTTAGCATGGCAGTCAGGCACTCGGTATGTCACTGGTAACTTAACATGGTCCCTGAGGCCCATGCTGTGGGTCAGTGTTAAATGGGGGAGAGTGGGACCAACAAGTGGGTGGAAACTTGTTTCAGGATGACTTTTTTTTTTTTAAGATTTATTTATTTATTGGAAAGTCAGATATACAGAGAGGAGGAGACACAGAGAGGAAGATCCTCTGTCCGATGATTCACTCCCCAAGGGAGCGCGACGGCCGATGCTATGCCGATCCAAAGCCAGGATCCAGGAGCCTCTTCCGGGCATCCCACACGGGTGCAGGGTCCTAAAGCTTTGGGCCGTCCTCAACTGCCCTTCCAGCCACAAGCAGGGAGCTGGAAGGGAAGTGGAGCTGCAGGGATTAGAACCGGCGCCCATATGGGATCCCGGACGTGTTCAAGGCAAGAACTTTAGCCGCTAGGCCACGCCGCTGGGCCCCAGGGTGACTTCTTAGGGGTAAGTTTGTTTCGTAGTGTCTAAACAGTTTTACATGCATTGCTTTTTAAATGATGGAGCAATAAACCAGATGTGTGAACTGGAACCAATGCAGTTGACTGTCACAAATATTCATAGCTTAAAGCAAGGGCCTCTAAATTCATTTGATTATGTGTGGCTATCAGTAACAGATGCTGATAGTGTGCCCCAGTGAATATAGATTTGCTTATAAATTATTTAAAGTGTTCTAAAAAATGGAATGCAGGTTAGACAGTTATGAGATAAATCCATTGTGATTAAAAGCCTCATGATTTGGGCCCAGTGCGGTGGCCTAGTAGCTAAAGTCCTTGCCTTGCAGGTGCCAGGATCCCATATGGGAGTCAGTTTCTTTCTTTCTTTCTTTCTTTCTTTCTTTTTTTTAAAGATTTATTTTTATCGCCAAGTCAGATATACAGAAAGGAAGATCTTCCATCTGATGATTCACTACCCAAGTGGCTGCAATGGCTGGTGCTGTACCAATATGAAGCCAGGAGTCAGGAATTTCCTCCAGGTCTCCCACATGGGTGCAGAGTCCGAAGGCTTACCATTGCTTACCCAGGCCACAAACAGGGAACTGGATGGCAAGTGGGGCTACCCAGATTAGAACCGGCACTCATACGGGATCCCAGTGCTTTCAAGGTGAAGACTTTAGCCACTAGTCACCATGTTGGACCCAGGTGTTGGTTCTAATCCTGGTGGCACCCTTTGCCATCCAGCTCCTTCTTTGTGGCCTGGGAAAGCAGTGGAGGACAGTCCAAAGCCTTGGGGCCCTGCACCCACATGGAAA